CTACAGTAGCCTGCCCCATCTTCCTTCCGAGGAGTGGCTGGTGGGTTTGAACCGCCAGCCTTCTGGTTAGCAGTCAAGTGTCTTAGGCACTATGCTACCATACACACATATATATACACACATACCTACACACATACATATATACGTATATTATGTTGTTGTTATGTGCCGTCGAGTCAGACCCGACTCACAGTGACCCTTCCTTGGGTATCCAAGGCAGTATCACTATGGAAGTAGATTGCCCATCTTCCTTCCGACTAGTGGCTGGTGGGTTTGAACCGTCAGCCTTCTGGTTAGCAGTCAAGTGCCTTAGGCACTACGCCACCAGAGCTCCCATACAGATAGATAGATAGGCAGATAGATAGATAGGTGTCTTCTAAACCATAAATCAGATACCATGAGAGCTACAATTACAATTAAATGATAAGTCCAGATAAGTGCTGTCCAACAGAAGTTTCCCTGCAATGATGAAAACGTTCTTTTTTGCACTGTCAAATACAGCAGCCACTAGCCATCTGTGGCTACTGAGCATTTGCATAAACTGGCCAGTAAACAAACTGTTTTATTTTTATCTAACTTTAATTTAAATTTGAACAGTCACATTTGTCTAGAGGCTACGACACTGGACAGTAGAGGTCTAGAGAAAAGATTAGAGAAGAAAATAAAGCTAGGAAGGCATAGCAAGTAGGAAGGAGAATCAATTACGTATTTTACCCTACAGCTTAAGAATAAAAAAAATCAGTAGTTGCCAATTCCTATGCTCCCAAGCTTTTAAGCCAGTCTCAGCAATGTAGGAACTGTGGAGGCCCTCAAATATTTCATCTACATTTGTGGTTCAATTATAATCTCTCAAGAAGTGAGTACTTGCCAAAACTCTATTTCTGAATTCTGTGCTAGGATCTAAATTTATTTTAACTGAATTCAAGGTAAACAAAGCACTATTAAAAAGCAACAGAAAAAAGAACAATATCAGTCTCTACTCAGAATTCAAACCACTAGAAAGTGCTATCCAAGAGAATTTTCTGCAAAGATTGAGACGTCTGTCTGCACGACTCAGAAAAAACAGCCACTAGCCAAATGTAGCTACTGTACACTTGAATGTGGCTTAGCACAACACAATCTAAATTTTAATTTAATTCTAATTAATTTAAATTTAAAGTCATATGTGGCTGAAAGCTAATGTACTGGGACAATGCAGGCATAAAAGGAATAGATGAGAGAGGCATGAATAACTGCAACAACATAGGGCAAATGGTAGTAAGAATCACAAGGAAATAAATATTTTGTGGGTTAAGTAAGAAAAGCAAATTCAGTGGAGGTAAGGAATGGTCAGGAAAAAAGTGCGTAAGATTTGACACATCTGACACTAATGACCAAAGACCAGAAGATCTGTGAGATTACATCAAGGGCATCACACATGAAAAAAGTAAAATGGTATTAAAAGGAGAGGAAAGAAAGGACCAAAATGGTGGAAGAGATTCTGAAATTTGCCCTTGAATGCAGAGTAACTAAAAGTGAATGCAATTAGTGATGAAATAAAAGACCTCAGCAGAAGATTTCCAAGGTAAGCTTGAGAAGACAGAGCAAAGTATCATACCGAAATATGCAAAGACCTGAAGTTAGAGAACCAAAAGGTAAGAATATTCTCAACATTTCTCAATCTTAAAGAACTGAAGAAAAACTTCAAGCCTCATGTTGCATTACTGAAGGATTCTATGGGCAAAACAGTGTATGACATAAGCTATAACAGAAAAAAAAATGATGGAAAGAAAACACAGACATCGTATCAAAAAGCACTGGCTGACGTTCAACCATTTCAGAAGGCAGAGTATGACTGACAACCAATGGCACTGAAGGAAGAAGAGGTCCAAGCTGCACCGTAGGCACTGGAGAAAAATAAGGCTCCAGAAATTGATGGAATACCAACTGAAACATTTCCACATAAAGATGCAAATGCTGAAAGTGCTCACTCATCTATGCTAAGAAATTTGGAAGATAGCTACCTATATTTGTGCCCATTCCAAAGAAAAGTGATCCAACACAACACAGGAATTATCAAACAGTATTATAATATCAGCAAGTAAAATTTTGTTTTACTTGAATTTTGTAAATGTAAATTAAACTAAAATTTTACTGAAGATAATTCAAAGATGGTTGCAGCAATATAATGGACAGAGAACTGCCAGAAATTCAAGCCGAACTCAGAAGAGAAGGTACAATGAGGCCTATCACTGATGATGTCATATGGATCTTGGCTGAAAGCAGGCAATACCATAATGATGTTTACCTGTGTTTCACTGACTACAGAGACACATTCAGCTGGGAGATCATAACAAATTACAGATAGCATTAGGAAGAATGGGAATTCCAGAACACTTAATTATGCTCATGCAGAACTTGAACACAGACCAAGGGACAGTCATTCAAACAGAACATGGGGATACTGCGTGGTTTAAACTCAGGAGAGGTGTGTTGGGGTTGTATCCTTTATGAATTGAGTAATTCAAGGTAGACTAAAGAAGAACATGACATAAGGATTGGAGGAAGGCTCATTAGCAACCTTCGTTATGCAGATGATACAAGTAAAGAGGACTCAAAGCACTCACTGATGAAAATCAAAGACTATAGCCTTTAGTATAGATTATACCTCAACATAAAACAAAAATCCTCATAACTGGACCAATAAGCAACATTAAAATAAACAGAGAAAAGACTTAAGTTGTCAAAGATTTCACTTTATTTGGATCTGCAATCATTGTCCATGGAAGCTGCAGTCAAGAAATCAAAGTTTTGCAGTGGGGAAATGTGCTGCAAAAGATCTCTTTAACATCTTAAAAAGCAAAGATGTCACTCTAAGAGAGGCACACAAGAGGTACAAACAACAAAGAAACACTTTTACATACACAATACTGGATTATCAGTAATAACAAATGTTACTTTATGGGTGGATACATAAGCAGATAGGTTGAATTGTCACGTATGTTTAGGCAAAAGGGAATACACCCATGACCATATATAAGGTTGGCAGACAGTATTTCCACATATGTATCTATATGTACTATAAGAACATCCATAAATATAATAGAACCAACAAGAAGCAGAGTTATAACAACTTCTAAGCCACAGCCAACCACCTTATGGGAGCAAGTTGTTGGACCTGTGGGCTCAGGAACACGGTCACAGGTAATACCAAGCTCAACTGGCATAATGTACTACACAAAAACATTGTTCTACATCCTACTTTGGTGAGTAGCAACTAAGGCCTTAAAGGCTTGTAAGTGGCCATCTAAGACACAACAACTGGTCTCTCCTTATTCAGGATGAAGAAGAACGAAGAAAACCTAAGACACGTGGAAACAATTAGTCCCAGGCACTAGGTA